TGCAGTTTAACACGCAGTACCACTATGTAATGACTTATAAAGACCCATATATCTTGGGCCTAGGCTCTCTGAAAGACTGTATCTGCCTATATAGGTTTATATAGGTTTAAGATTTCTTTCTGTCCTTCCTACTTTACAACACGTTTGGTGAGGACTTGAGAGGAGCACTGCTTGACACCTGCTCCCAGGATGTAAAATTTCCTGTTAAGGGAGACAAGGCTTGCCCTCTCCTTTCTCACCTGCCTCTGCAGGCTGACATTATTTAGGCAGGCCTTTTACCATTTATTGGCTGAAATTCTGTTGCTTACCATAGCACAGTAAGCATACTAAATCGATGGTGGGTTTGAGAATCAGTTCCTCTATAAGTCCCATTCATTCAAATGAGCTTACTCTAGTTGCAACTTATTGTGCTAAAGTAACTCATAGTTGATCTAGGCCCATTTAAATCAATGGAACCTGCAGAGAAGTTGACTCACAAATCTCCACTGATTCAGTGGGACCACTCTAGTGTAGCTTACTACACTAAGCAACAGGATTTGAACCACTGGCTTCCAAGAAGCAGCCTTTAAATAAACAGGTGCTGTACTTTTTCTTTTGAGTTTTTAAATGTTTTTAATTGTTTTAATTCAGTACTTATGTTTAATATGAAAACTAATTAGTACTTCAGTATTATAATGTATTGTGTTCTATGCTGTATCTATTTTTAATTCAAGTTGTGAGTTGTCTTGGCCCTGAAGTTGGAGAAAGGCTAGACATAAATTAAAAACAAAAACATAAGAAGCATTTACTTACAAAGGATCATTGAAATCAAATTGTATTGGAAAAGGTGGCCTCTTTGGTGACTGCCAAAACAAACCTGGAGGTTTAAAAGAAAGCAAATTAATTCTTAAAAGCAACAAAATAAAATATACTGATCATTATGTAGTTAAAATTTTACTGTACTTACTACCATCTTTTAATCTTGTGTCAATGGGAAAGGAGTGAAGTAACTGGAGGGCCTAAATGAAAAAAACCTTTTTTAAATATAGCTAACCATATATCAGCTTTATGTACCTTGAAATCCATTCAGGTTCTTTGAATCCAAGTTTATTTTTAACATAAAGGAAACAGGCATTCTCATTAGCTGTTAAAATACATAATCCCATAATTTCTACTGGGAAATCTCATCAAAGAAACTCCATTAGCCACTGTACCTGATTATAGCTCCAGCAAATATGTCATCCTGAAGTTAAAAAATCCCACCCAGCAATACCACAGAACAGAAATAATTAATTAAAGGTTTCATTTTCACTTCTAAATCAATTCAAGTTGCTGGTTGACCTTTACAGCCTTGACCTTTACATAGGCTCCAAATTGTTTCAAGAAACATATTTTACCTGAAACTTATCTATCAGTTAAGATCTAAAACTTCAACCCTTCAGTATCTATCATACATGAGTCTTGCTATTGTGAAATTCCTTCCCACCTGATAACATACAGTCCCTCAACACAGGAAAATGCTACATAACTAATGTTTCCTAAGTTGTGTAATTGGTGCTTGTTTTCATTTATTAGTTTGTTGTTGGTTTAACTGCATTTTTTCAATGTATAGTATAAAAACTTTCAGATATATAAATTTAAGAACTTTGTTTCTCAAATTAGCCAGAAAACAACATAGACGCAAAGAAATTGAAAAAATGTTTTTAACATGCACACACTATTTTACTTTTGCCTTTAAGTTGTCAACTGATAATATTAGCCACCAGAATTACATATTTACCTTATGATTGAAATACTTCTCAAATTTTAACCTTGCTAATTCAACACACTGGGCCCATCTTCTTGGTCTCCTACTGAGACATTTGATAACTTGGAAAGAACCCTCCAAACTTTCTCCAGACTTAATTCTCTAGAAAAAGGAAAATTACAATTAAAATGGGTAAATTAAGAGCCATCAGTAAACATGCTTTTACCACCACAGCATGGATTAGTGCAGTGTTGTAATCAATCCCAACCCACACCTTGCACCTGTTCAATATATCTAGTGAAAATTGAGTACCTGACATACACATGTGTGTTCCGCTTTTACAGTCTATATAAATTTTATACATTTCATTTTTAATCTGCAAACAGCTGCTGCCTTGGAAACAACTCAAAAATATTCTTTACAGAAGACTTTCTCAATGTGATGTTTTGTGACTCCCAAGAGCTCCAGACAGAATGAATGGCCAGTGATCAGGAATGGTGACAGATGGGGTCCAAGACATCAGAGGCTGGGGAAAGCTGCTCAACCTAATGGCTGGAATCTTATTGGTGTTCATGTAAGGTATGTGTAATGCACCTTGGCTAATTACAACTAATTGATAAGATGCTGTGGTATATCTTGGTTGGGTAACTGGACACAAGTCTAGACACATGACTGAGAAGTGTCTCAGTACATCATTTCTTAGATACAATCAGCTATAGCAAGTTGTTATTGTTGTTTAGTTATTAAGTCGTGTCCAACTCTTCGTGATCCCATGGACCAGAGCACGCCAGGCCCTCCTGTCTTCCACTGCCTCCTGGAGTTGGGTCAAATTCATATTGGTAGCTTCAATGACACTGTCCATCCATCTCGTTCTGTGTCACCCCCTTCTCCTGTTGCCTTCACACTTTCCCAACATCAGGGTATTTTCCAGGAAGCCTTCTCTTCTCATGAGATGGCCAAGGTATTGGAGCCTCAGCTTCAGGATCTGTCCTTCCAGTGAACACTCAGGGTTGATTTTCTTCAACTGATAGGTTTGTTCTAGGTTTGTTCTACTTGCAGTCCAGGGGATTCTCAAGAGTCTTCTCCTGAGACAGGAGGGCCTGGCGTGCTCTGGTCCATGGGGTCATGAAGAGTCGGACACGACTAAACAATAACGACATGTAAAGGCATCATAAAGTAGACCATTACCTGTAATACTTCTTCTGCTGATGGATATGTTTGCCAAAACTTGTTAAATAGAGAAGGCTTGTGTGAAAAAGCACTCTCAAACTAAAACAAGAAAACAGTTATAAGAAAACAGTATTAAATACAGTGGTGCCTCGCTTAACAGGCACCCCGTTAGACGACGAAGCCGCATAGCGATGGCTTTTTTGCGATCACATTGCGATGTTGCCTATGGGGAAAAATCGCAAAGCGATTTTTCCCCATAGCCCCATTTCCCCCCAGCTGAGTGGCAGGAGTTTCCGCCCTCCCCCCGCGGAAGCTCCCCCATGGTCCTTCCCAAGCCCTAGCTGGCATTTTTGCCCAGCTGAGCGGTGGTGGCTTCGGAAGCTCCCGCCGCTCAGCTGGGGGAAAATGCTGGCTAGGGCTTTGCAAGGACTGCGGGGGAGGGCTCCCCCGCGGTCCTTCCCAAGCCCTAGCCAGCATTTTCGCCCAGCTGAGTGGCGTTGGCTTTGGAAGGACTGCGGGGGAGGGTTCCCTCCCCCGCGGTCCTTCCCAAGCACTAGCCAGCATTTTCGCCCAGCTGAGTGGCGTTGGCTTTGGAAGGACTGCGGGGGAGGGCTCCCCCGCGGTCCTTCCCAAGCACTAGCCAGCATTTTCGCCCAGCTGAGCGGTGTTGGCTTTGGAAGGACCATAAGAATGCACTAAACAGGGTTTAATGCATTCCTATGGGTTTTTTTGCCCCGTATAGCGACGAATCTGGATAGCGATGATTTATCCGGAACGGATTATCATCGCCATGCGGGGCACCACAGTATTCCTTTCACGCAATACTGTCCCGCAATAAGGCAAAATTCAATAGTAAAACCCATAAGAATGCACTAAACAGGGTTTAATGCGTTCCTATGGGGGTTTTTGCCCCGTATAGCGACGAATCCGGATAGCGACGATTTATCCGGAACGGATTATCATCGCTATGCGGGGCACCACAGTATTCCTTTAACCCAATACTGTCCCCCAATAAGGCAAAATTCAATAGTAAAATTGAAACTCATTGCTTGACTCTGCTCTTAATATATTCACCCTCAATTCTAATAAGGCTTATGAAAGTGAAAAATCCCACTGTATTGTGGGAGGAGCACCATGCTCATCATAACATTTACCTTGTCTCTTGCCCATTGTATTGTGTGTTCAGTGGCTGCTGGAAAAGACTTTAATGTACAAAATGGTATTTCTTCTTCTGGTGGATCTCGCTACATGTAAAAGAAAGAAAGAGAAAAAGGCAGATAGCTAGACAGATTGCTCCTGCATTACGATTCATCTGCTTTATTATTATTACTATCTGATAATAAAGTCCAGCCCATGTCAGGTATGTATAGGGGGGAGAATTAAACTCACGGCCTCTGGCTCTGCAGCCAGATACCTTTCTAAATGTAAGTACTAAGAACCTTAAAAGTGCTTAAGCAGCTATTTTGAAACTACAGGATTATCTACAAAAATGTCACACAACTGAATTTAAAATAGGGCATTGGGCCATTCAAAACCATCATCCTCTTGTAAGGAGATCCAAGAAGAGTTATGGATTTACCCAGTCCAAGGAACACTGCTTTCACGTCTGGAACACTTACATGACTGTTGTATGATTCTGTCAGATGAGGCAGGATAACTTCGGTATGACCTTTTGTTCCCATGGTTCCAGAGTCCAAGAGAGGGCGTAGGTTTGCTAGGCAGCGGCTACACGGAAGGAGAAAAAGTGCAAAATAAATAGTAAAATGACATACAGGGCCCCAAAAGAGTATAGAAGAACAATCAGGTGACAATACAACTTTCTGGCTTGAGTATTCTATATCTGCAATATACCATTATATAAATTCAATCCCATTCCAGTGACCATGGTTCTATCCTTCAGAACCCTGGGATTTGTAGTGTGGTGGGTTCTCCAAATTCTCTCCTAGACAGCTGTAATGCAAATTTCCTGAACTACAACATTAGTGCCATCTAGCAGGTAACTCATCCACCAAACTGCTAATCCCAGGAAAATGGTGGATTAGAATCAAGGCAGTTAAAGAAGTAGCAAATAATTAAACCTGTATAGTTGATAAAAAAAAAACTTTGTAGAAGATAATTGGCTTTAAAAAAAGACTTCAATTGACAAACCCAAAAATTTTTATATGAAAAATAACTACAACCTGCCTTTCTATTAAATGCACATATAAAACTTATACACACATAAGGCATTAGTGGCATAACTGTAAATTAGGAAATCACAATTAAGAAACAAGAACATCAGAAAATCAGGCCACAGAGTCTGGCTCTAAACCCAGAAGGTATAGTGGGGAATTCAATTCCCAGCCCTAGAATGCCCCAGCCCACTAAGCTAGTGGATTCATGACAAATGTAAAATTCGAACTGGGAACGTTTTCATCTATAGCACTATAGCTTAGTCTCTGCACTTTGTTAGACTACATAGGTAAATGCAGTCATTTTAAGCCATAATTCAAATAAATTTATATATTTTTAAATTCTATATGTTGACCTAGATTTGATTTCAGGATGGTTTGCAACAATATAACATGTATTACAACTGTAGCACTAGAAGTCATCTGTCTGGTGAACACATTCTAGCATATCAGGCAAAAACAATAGAAAAATAAAAAAGACAAAATACAAAAAAAGCTATATTACTAGAAGTCATCTGTCTGGTGAACACATAATTCATCTAGCATATCAGGCAAAATCAATAGAAAAATAAAAAAGACAAAAGACAAAAAAAGTTATATTTTAATGGGAGCTTTCTTGGACAAGTCCACTTCTTCAGACATCTAACCATATCTGCTAACAGATTATAGCTTTTTGTCACTGATATGTTCATCTAATGTATTAGAAGACACACAGTTAAGTCAGAATGTGGCTGCTAAAAGTCATTTTAAAACTTTTGAATAAAACAGATGCCATTTTAACAGGATCTCACAATATCTATTTGTTGACATATTGGCAACTAAATAATTTATCATGTTAACAGTTTCAATCCATTAGAAGTTCTAATAAAGCTACAGTTCACTGCATAGAAGCTGCTACTATAAAGCATCAAGCATAGTATCTTTTTTGAAAACTGCTACACTCTGTCAAAAGCTCCCCAGAAATAACAGTAAAATGGCAACAGAAAAATAAACCAACAGCAGCCAAAAGTTTGAAACTTCCCTATGAAGTGGATTTGTAAACTGCACCTGGGATACTTTGAATTACCTACTGCTTGCACTGTTGTGCATATATGTGAGCTCCGGTTTAATGCCTAGAAAAGAAACGGCAAGTTGCGGGACGGGGGGGCAGACAAAAGTTGAACATACACAAAACAAATGTAAATTCCAAATCTTGCTGTAAACAACTTGTCCTAAATAACATACCTGTCAATGTACCTCCTTGCTTCAACATTATCTAGTGCAGTTACAACTATATCTTGCTTAGTGTAGAAATCATCATTGTATATATTTTCAGTAGCTGGAGACACTTTGTTAAGATGTGAGTCGATCTTCATCTGAGTATTGATGTTAAGTGTTGCTGCTGCTGCAGTATAACTTTTGGGCTTCTAATGGAAGTTAAAATATTTAAACATGCTTACTGTAAACAGAAAATTTTAATACACCATAAACTAGATCTGGAAGTTGAATCATGACAACTGGACTTCTTTGTTAGGTTGAAACATTTCACTACTCATCCAAGTAGCTTCTTCAGTCTGATGCCTGATATATCCTACCAACTCTCCTCAGACTAAAGAAGCTACTTGGATAGGAAGCAAAACGTTTCAGCCTAACAAGAAAGAAGTCCAGTTGCCATGACTCAACTTCCAGATAACTCCACCTGGATGACTGAGAATCTTCACAGATTGTAAACTAAAGTTCAAAATTACTGAGCCAGAAAAACATTCAGGTGCATCAATTACTCATTAAAGGAGGATGTGAACCACTGTCAAACCAAAAGCATTATACAGAGAAAGTACATACACTCAAGTACAAACCTGACTTTTGACCACAAACAGGACACAAATGATTTCTTTTTTAATCTTAGGCAGGCTCTTTAACACTGGAAAATTTAAAGGCCAGTTTATATTCTGATCTTACTTCCAATGCATAAATCATTTTCCACTCAAAAGTCTGTTTTCTGTACATGAAACTTAGTTGATCAGAATCTACTTTGAATGTGAATGATTCTTCATAATTGAAAGTGTTAGCAAAAACTTCCTGAAACATATGTATGTTGCTTGGAAGTTAAGAAATCATGTTTATATAAAACACACATATAGCATGCATGAGCAGAAGTCTGCTCAGCTGGTTTTGAAATCTAAGCTGCCTTGGTCACTAGGTTTCAAGAACTATGCCAGGAATTGCATAGATGCGGTTTTTAATACCATTATCCAGGATATCAATGTGGACCACCTAACAGGGAAGGGTCTTCAAGGTGGTTTTGCAGTGCTTTTGGTCATTCTAGAAGGCTGATTCCACAAGGTACTGCTGGAGTACTACTGCTCATCTCTAGTCTTCTTGTGTTATCACATTCCAAAGGATTTCATCTTGACCCCTTTGCTGTTTAACCTATTTATGAACCTACCCGAAGCACATCAGGTAAGAGATTTGGTATGTAGTGTTACCAATATGCTGGTAATAACCAACCTTATGGCCCTTACAAATGAAACATAAATGGTTGAAATACAGCAGTATACACTGCATTGTGTAAGGCTGCTGATGCCTTCAGCTGTGGTGGTTTTTCAGAAAATCTTCCCCTCCTGAAGTTCTCTTGGGTTCACTTTTTTCAAGAGGAAGCTGTTTGGGGCCATGGCATGGGGCTCTTTAATTTTCAAAAACTGCCCGTGCCAGTAAAATCATTCCAGCAGCAGCAATGTTTGGAAGTTAAAAAGGTCCCTTATGTATCACAGCTCCCAATAGCTTTTCCATGACAAAAGAGATCTCAAGGGAACCTTGGGTCCCTGGAAGGCAAGGAGTGGAGGGTCAGAAATCCTAAATATCCAAAAACTGTCATGCCTGACAACACCATCTGCCTTATGCTGATGACATCCTCATCCACAGAAACAGGATTTCAGCCACTATGTGGTGAAGTATTTGACCACTATTTTGCTTGGTCCCCCATCTTAATAAAAACATGGTGTGATTTCTTCTCTGTCATAACTGTGTAGCACGTAAATGGTATGGACAGAATCAAGTGGAAAAACATTCCCACACTTAAATTGGTCATCTGTGGACTAAATCTAGTTGTTACCCTGTTTCCCCAAAAATAAGACCTAAACTGAAAATAAGCCCTAGTCTGATTTTTCAGGATGCTCGTAATATAAGCCCTACTCCCAAAACAAGCCCCAGTTAAGTGAAATCCTGCCCTCCACCATTGTGCAGCATTGTGCCGCATCCAGAAGATGAGACTGTATCTGAATAAATGTAAATTGTTGTACATGGGGAAAAAAATAGACCATCCCCTTAAAATGAGCCCTAATGTGTTTTTTGGAGCAAAAATTAATATATTATTTTCGGGGAAACATGGTAGTCCCAATAAAAGTAAATTAACTGAAGGAAGCATGCTTGCTAAGTCATCACTGACTACTTGAGTTTTTGCCCCTATTTCTGGTAATGGTTTGTGATAATGTCCCTTCGGAAGCTAAATTACACAGCTAGAATAGCTTTAAGCAAAATCTTGACTTTCTGGGTTTTGAGAGTTTATGTTTCAGATTTCTATTTAGAAGATTATTTACATGTTTTTTTAAAATTTAAAGATTTGCAGTTTTTGTGTGATGTCTATTCATTTAAAATTTAGAGCATTTTTATAGCAACTCTAATATATAAATCTCCTGTTCACTCCATTTGGAGAATAAGTCTGTTATTCAGGTGAGCATTTGGCCTTTATGCAATTCAAGAATACAATCTGACTCTTATGACTGGTACTCTAGTTATTATTTTGGTTATCTCTTGTTATTTTTTATTTTTATGTCATTCTAGGGAGGGAAGGACAGAATGCAGAAGATAATGATGATGAAAACAAAGACTGTGTATTTTACTTAAAGTATTAGTTCTTTTTAGTCAACTCAAAATTCTTTTAAACAAAGACATTAAATAGTAAAACCGGAGCCTTGTGCCTCTGATGCATGTATTATACCACTTAGAGGTATACTTGGAGCTAACCTACAGAAGTTAACCTGTAAAACAGTAACAAAATTAGAGCATTTGCCCTAGGTTTAGGATACAGAGGATAAGTTACTTTAAAACAGCCCTTTAAAAGCATTAATTCCACTATTACAGCTCATATTTTCTAAAACATCCACAAACTTTTTAAAACTTTCAGTCTCAACCTACCTGTATGTGATGTGGCCGAAAGAGAAACTGCCTGTTTAAGTTTGATTTTTCTATTAAATCAGGATCTGTAATTGTAACCTACAATAGTTTGGATAAACAGAAAGATCAAGACATAGATCAGGGCTAATATGATCAAACTTTTTATTATTTTCAACAGCAGGATCAGTTCTTGGAAACCTTAGCTTGGCTATCCACACATAAGTATTAACAGTTAAAACAGAATATTCTCACAGTATCCTGTGTTACACGCCATCCATCCTAAACTCTGCCATTCATCCTATCTTGAAAAGACTTTCCTGTCGAGGGCGAGTTATAAGATTTTGCTAGTGGGTCACACTGCACAAGGGTATAAATTAAGTCTGTTTTTACATTTAAAAATCATCGAAAGTTGTTTAATAAAGACAGACTGACAGACCCACCAACTATCAAAATTGCGAGGATAGCTCAGCTCCAGAAAGCCAATGTGCTATTGTATAAAGTGTGATGGATGGGGGTTCTCAAGATCTAGATTCAAATAGCTGCTTGGCCATGGAAACTTACTGGGAGTTGGCAATGGTATAACCACTCCTTAGGTATCTCATATACCTTGAAAACTCTATAAGGATTACAATAAATCAGATATGAATTGATAATATACAGCTTCAACTCCACTTACAAATCTAAATTTAGTAAACATACAGCCAAAATCAGAAGCTGTACGGAAGCTGCTTCCATATTCAAAAATATGGAAGCTGAAGTAACCCCAAAATGTGTACTTGTAGCACAGAATTCTTTAGAGATGTGTAGAAAAATCAGCAGGACACAGCTTCCCTTGCAAGTTCTACAACACATCTGATCGGCTGTCATAAAAGTCAAGGAAAAATGTACATGTAACGACCGTAAGAGAAACTGAAATCAGTATGGAATCTAAAACATACCATGCCTCTTCCTTGGTCAGTGCCAACACCAAGGAGTGCAAAATTTTTTAACATTTCACAGCCTATAGCACCACAGCCAACCTGTACAATTAAAACAAAACGAAAAATGTTTAAGATTCCCAAATCTTATCTAGTTCAACTCCACACTGTATTACTTTTGTCTATAAAACTGAAACAAACAAAGGTGTATGCAAACATTTCTAAATTGCTTGGACCTCAGGAACTACTGCCATCTTATTTTTAATTTATCTGATTAACATCCAAGGCTACTTTTTAAGTATGAAATGAAATATCAGAATCATTTTAAATGGCTGACCAGGGCTACCTCTAACATCTGGAGCTAATGTAATGCATTCAAATCCATCAAAAACTATGCAAGATATTTTTCCATACTAAGCAAGGCACTCTAATTCATCTTTAACTAGATATTTTGCAAGCCTTTTAAACTCCTAATTTAAGTTTTAAAATTCAAAGGAGGGGCAGGATTCCAATTGATGTATAGTGCAGTAAATCTAAAAAAATTAGTTTCCTGGATTGTGTAACTGCAACACAGTGCAATACAGCTGGCCTCTTAACAGGCCATGTAGAACTCACATTTCTTAGGTTGGTCAACTTATCCTAATAGCCATACTTACCAAGAAAACGTTCAGACTCTGCAGCTTCTGGCACAAAGAATCTCCAATGCAGACTCTCAAGGCATCATATCTGTCTCCTCTGTTACAGACAATGAGATACAGTAGAAATAACAATGGCAAATACAGAAGGGGGAAAAATTTCCAGAACTGCTTACCAACCTCTACACTCAGTGTATGGTATGTATGGGAAACCTACAGACCAGAGAGCTTGTAGTCCTTAGAGGCCTTAAATGCAGTCCACTATGAGTACTTCTGCCTAAACCCCAGTCCCACAATTCTCTGCTTGCCCCACTTATTTTTATGTGGGCTTACAAGAGCATGGCTGCATCTTCAGTAACTACACCTGGGTTAGTAGGAGGGATATTATAATGAAAAAAGGTGCTGCATGCAAAGTCACCTTGTGTGCAATCCTTGACACTGACATTCAGGTTCTCTCTCTCCTTTGTCTAAGCAGGTTGGGCAAAAGTATATGGCAGAGGTATACTGCCCAGAGAAATGCTTAAGCTTCCTTATCCTACATGCTGAGGCAGTGGGGCTTGGGAAGAATGGATACTCGTGTGCCTGTTTGCTTCTGTCCCTGTGCATGCAAGAAAGAGGATGCAATAAACCTCTGTAAGTGGTTAGGCTCAGCTATTTCTCTGAGGTGGGTTTGTATCAATGAGCCTATTTCATTTTTAATGTGAAAATCCACTTTTTGAAATCACGTCACATCCCTGTGGACAGACAATGTGAGATACGGGTGAGAGCACTGGTGTTGAGAGACATGAGCACACACCTCCACTCAACCATGGACTACACTGTATGACTTTGGGCCAATCGCTCTTTCACCATACCTTGTGCGATAATAAAGAGAAGGAATCATGTATTCCACACCAAGGAGAAGTTATAGAATACATAAATGAGTCAGTTTTACTGTACCACTTTTAAATATTTACCTGGGAAAGAATTCTTCACTGCTGACATTCTCCAGAAATGTGACCAATTCTAATGCATCAATATACAGCTAGAGAGAAACAAATAAATTTATCATGCACCATCACACTAAATAAGGTGTACATTTTAATATATAACTGAAGAAAATATTATTACAAAATGAAAGAAGTGCTAGTTTTCTGTATCGTACCAACCCATACTGCAAACAGCTGTTATATGTATGAATATTCCTGTCACTTAAAAATTCCCCTGTGGTAAAGCAGGCTAGCATATCAGGGACCTACCTCAGCTAAATCTTTCTCTGCTGTAAATATCCACTATGAGCAGATCTTTAGATGGGGAATCATATACACTTCCCCTTCTACTACAATGTGGTCTAAGACAGTAGCTTTATTACCGCCATCTACCACCTCATTATTTGCAATATTTCAGTCAGTTCCTGCTTACTTCATAAAATGTTCCAATGGTGCTTGCAAAAAAATAACCAATAATTATAATATGCTGTATCAAACTACTAATAGATCTCGTAATTTACTATTTTTAACTAACGATGTTGCCCTGCCTCCAAATGTTCCCAGCCTTTTCTGCTGTATTCCCAGAGAGGACAATTAAGAGCAATATTGAAGAGAATAATGCCTCCTCTTTTTATAGCTAGAAGATCTGGATAAAGCCAACCAGGCAATACTAGGGAAGGGACAGAACCTTTTCCCAGGCAAACAACTCACCCCACCCTGCCTCTCCTTCCCTGGTTTTTCACATAAAAACCACACCCAAATCATCAACCTAGAAATTAATATAAAACTGTAAACATAATTACATGAATGTTAACTCTATTAAAATCTATAGGTCATATTTCAGCAATCACATTGTCACTTTCGTGGTCTCCTGCCAAAAATGTTTCTAGTATCACCACTACAAGGTCAATTATACCACATACGTAGACTATCAAACCCATTCCTATGCCAATGGACATGAACAGAAGACAGAAGATTACTGTAAGATTTAGATAAAAAGAGTTGTAGATGGACATATTCAACATTTTGATAGCTAAATTTAGAATATCATTCAATGCATGGTTTGGGGTATGGTTTGGGCTCACATACTTCCTCCTTCCCCTGCACATGAGATGTATTTCTTCCTGTGCTATCTGAACAGGTAAACTATGGTATTAGCAAGTCTGCCTAATTCAGGATTCCAAGCCTGTTAGGATGGTTTAGAAGTATGATGCAATTGAATTTGCCACCTTAGGTATAGCAACAAACCAAAGTTTTTTAAACATGGCATAGTGATTAAGTCCCACAGGAAGGAGGGGAAATGGTAAGCAGAAGAATTTTACCAAAACTTTTCAAAACACATTTTGCAGGGGAGAGGGGTCATCGGTGCTTATAGACATTCTCATTTCTAGACTTATGTAACCAAATCCAGAACAAAGTAAACTGACCCATTGTTGCAAAGGAGAAAATTTTCCTGTCACTGCTTTCAAGACTTCTTGGCTGGCAACACCACCAAGTGCAGCTGTGAGGGGTGCCAAAGATCCTCGAGCCGTCCTTGATAGCCACTTCACAATATCTTCATTAACAGGAGGCTGTAATTTACAACAAAATAAGTACCTGTAGATATTGAAGGCCAGAATCCTATTACATATTAAACATCCATGCAACTCAAAGCAACATACATTTCATTGGCAAATTGCTGCAGATTATTAACTCTCCATGTCAATTAGAATCACGGAATAACTGACTTGGAAGGGGCCTATAAGGTCATCGAGTCCAACTCCCCTGCTCAATGCAGGAATCCAAATCAAAGTAGACCTGACAGACAGTTGTCCATTTTACTCTTGAAAATCTTCAGCGTTGGAGTATTCACCACCTCACAAGGTAACTGGCCCCACTGTCCTACTGCCCTAACAGTTAAGATGTCTTTCCTGATATTCAGACTAAATCTGGCTTCCTGTAACGAGTCCATTCTGGGATGATCAAGAGGAGATCCTGCCCCTCTTTTGTATGACTACCTTTCAAGTATTTGGAAAGTGAAATCATATCTCCCCTCAGTTTTCTTTTCTCAAGGCTGCGCATGCCCAATCCCTTCAGTCTTTCCTCATAGGACTTGGTTTCCAGTCCCCTGACCACTCTTGTTGCCCTCCTCTGAACTTGCTCCATTTTGTTGGCATCCCTCTTATAGTGTGGTGTGCAGAACTGGACACAGTAACACCAGATGAAGTGTAACCAGTGCTGAATAGAGGGGAACTAGTACCTCACAGGATTTGTAGACTACGCTTCTGTTAACACATCCTATAGTAGCACTGGCCTTTTTTGCAGTCTCATCACACTGTTGGCTCATATTTTGCATTTGATCTACAACAATTTCAAGATCCTTCTCATGCATCGTATTGCTGAGCCAAGTATCATGCATCCTGTAAATGAGCATTTGTTTTCTTTCCCCCAGGTGAAACTCTGCACTTAACCCAGTTAAAATTATGTTGTATTCAGCGCAATGCTCAAGCCTATCAAGATCTTTTTGAATTTTGTTGCTGTCTTTCCAGATATTAGCTATTCCACACAATTTTGTGTCATCTGCAAATTTGATAAGTATTCCCTGAATCTCTCATCCAAGTCATTATTAAAAATGTCAAGGAAAGGTCCCAGGACTGAGCCTTGTCGTACCCCACTTGTCACCTTTTCCCATCTTGAGAAGGAGCCACTGATAAGCACTCTCTAAGTACGATTCTATAACCAAATGTGTACCTACCTGACACTTGTTCTATATAGCCCACACTACATTTGCTTGCTAATCAGAAAATCATGGAGTACTTTGTCACAATTGTACACTGAGTCATGCAACTCAATACATAAGAGTATATGACCATACATTTCTGCATTTGTGTCAATTTGCCATAGATATTTACATCAACTGAGTTACACCATATCTTATACTGATCTTCAGACTCAACACCTCTAAATGAGATCAGAAGACAATCCCATCCCTACAGGAACAGAAAACCATTAGGAGAGGCAGCAAAAGAAGCAGCAGAATTTTGGCCACACCTATGAAGCTCCCATCGCTTTGTCCGAGCTCCTCGCCAACCTAGCAGTTCGAAAGTGAGTAGATAAATAGGTACCACCTCGGTGGGAAGGTAAAAACGACATTCCCTTGTCACGCTGGCCATGTGACCACGGAAACTGTCTTCGGACAAGCGCTGGCTCTACGGCTTGAAAACGGGATGAGCACCGCCCCTAGAGTCGGACACGACTGGACTGAAATGTCAAGGGGAACCTTTACCTTTACCTATGAAGCTATGAAGACTACTATGACTGACTTGGTGACTGCATAGTCCTCATAGAGACCAAGAGAAAAATGCAATACTCCATCTTTTTCTCTCTCCCTCTCTGTGTAAAGGAGCTTGAAGTCACCTTTTAAGCAATGGCAATGGTTCTCAGCACAAAGAAATTAAACAGCTATTTATTTATGTATTTATGTAATTTATCTCCTGCCCATTTAGACCAAAGTCTACTCTGGGCGGCTAACAACAATATTAAAATAAAATTAAAAAACAATATTATTATACTAGAGGATGGCAAAATAGGTATCGACAGGAGGGAAGGCCTGTATGAAGAGCCAGGTCTTAAGGTGGCTCTTGAAACCGCCCAGCAAGGGAGCCAGACAAATTTCTGGGTGGACATTGTTTCAGGGCCGAGGGGCCACTGCTGAGAAGGCCCACTTTCTTATTTTTTCTCTTTGGGCCTTCCTTGGCGTTAGGCCCCTCAGCCACCGGTCCTGGCTAGAGCAAGTGATATGGGTAAATCTAGGTGGGAGAAGGTGTTCCGCCAGATATTGAGGTCCTAAACCATTTAGGGCTTTATATGTTCATCATTAACACTTTGAAATCAATGTGGAAGTGAACAGGTAGCCATTGCAAGGCTGCCAGAGTGGGGGAGTTAGATAGCTAGCCTCCTTCTCATTAAAACTAGGGATGTGCACTCAGATTCAGAAATACTGTCTGGAATTCACTGAATAATGCCGTATTTGGATAGTTCAGAATATAGCCAACCCCAAATTTGATAGTTCTGAATATCTGTAATACTAATTCCTAATAGAAGTCCATTTACTCCTATAGATTAGAAAGTGAAAGGCTAGGTTTCTGTTTGCTAGAAAAAGTGGTGAAAGTGAAACCTATTACTCAGGCATCCTGGAGTGTTTCCTGTTTGGGGTTGACATAGGTTTTCTAAGGAAGGAGGGTTGGGGTGGGAGAAAAATGTGTAAATAGATGTTTGTCTGCCCAAATTAAGACTAAAAGGAGGCACATACACCAGAAGGTATTATTTCACATTGGTTCTTTCCAATTAAAATTTAGACATAGCTGCTAATAAATCCGTGGAGCATTTGCTGTTAGGATATCCTAGGAGAAAAATGTGTAAATAGATGTTTGTCTCCCCAAATTAAAAGGAGGCACATATACCAGAAGGTATTCTTTCATATTGGTTCTTTCCAATTAAAATTTAAACATAGCTGCAAATGCCATGGAGCATTTGCTGTTAGGATATACTCTGGTGCAAGCCTGCACTTCAGCAGTTTTATCTGTGTCCTTTTCTGAACACTCAACTTCCCCTCAAAGAAACGAGGATTGTCACTTGATGCTCAATTCTGAATTTAACTGCACTGTATAATGTTTATATAAAAGTCACAGACAGGTCTAGTAGTTAACAGAATGCTACTCACTTTTCCTTCCAGTGTTTTGCTTAAGGACAATGCTATCTTCACCATCTCACCAGCATCCTGAAGGCACCTAGAGCCAAAATAAAATCAACATGGAACCTCAATACTGTTCTTCAAATACAATACTAAGCATGAATGCAACCCAAGTCTACTACTAGGTTTTCTCATGTGTCAAGAAAAAAAGAATTCCTTAGTTACCTAAAGCTGTTCTTCAGTTTTAGATTATGTCTGCTGATGAGACAGGATTAGCATCAACCCACCCAGGTATCCTTGCTGCCTTCATCACAAAGCCACAAATGACAATGGAGACACCTGAGTAGGTGTTCTGCTTTACCAGGCAGCATAAATGAAGTACTATGAAAAGTACATGACATAATTAAGATCAGCAGAGGAGGCTCTCCAGTCGGTCCCATTGCCAGCACAAGCACAGCTAATGGGGACACAGGAGAGGGCCTTCTCTGTGGCAGCTCCCAGGCTATGGAACGCTCTCCCTTGGAAGATCAGGACGGCCCCTTCCCTTTTATCCTTTCGAAAAAAGCTAAAGACCCATTTCTTAGGGCAGGCTTTTAAAATAATAACTGAATCCCTGAACCCCATTTCAGCAGAAATTTTAATCTTTTTTATGTTTTCATGTTTTAATCTTTTAATTGTATTTTAAATCATATCTTGTTTAATTTATCTTTTAATATTTAACTCATGTTATTTTTGAATAATCAGCTATGGCATTAAGAAAAGAAAATGTTCTGCTGAAACACTTATACACGAGTGTTTTTCTGAGTAGTCATCTAAATCATGCTGTTCAAAATCTGCATCTGGGAATTTAACAAATTCAAAATGAAAGCAAAACAATAATTCAATAACTTAAAACCCAGCATTCTTATTTCATTTTTGTTTTTATATACAGGACGTGATTCAACGTGATTCTTTAGGACAAGAAAAACAGAATAAAGAATATTCAGTTATGCTAGACCTTCTTCTGCCCCATGAGTTGGTTAAAGCTCACAAAAACAAGGTTACATGAATTCCAACTAAATATACAGTGAAGCCATTTCCCTACTGTACAGCAGAAAAGAGGAGGAAACTAGTTTGTCCTACTATACAGAATTCTTAACATATGGGAATGCCATTTTCTTCAACAGCAGAATACATTTTGCATGGTGATATTCAAAGATGAACACTCTAACCATAGAACTAAAGGCTGAATCTCCACTCCATCAGCCAATATTCTGACTATCTCAAGTTTATTTGAAAACATTCTTCACTCTATGAAGCCTTGGTCAAGATTAAATATCCATTGTGTACTGCCTCATGAAAGCACAAGCCAAGGTCTAGCTAAGACGTAAATATTTCATTTGGAACACTGCTACTCTCGTCAGGGATTTCCAATACTTTCCTGGAACTGTTAATTTTAAGGTGTAAAGCATTCCATTCTCTCAGCTGGCTAAACAGTGTAGGTGCAGAAACTTTCATCTTAACACAACTAGGGCAAAAAGAAACAGAGAAAAAAACCCACACCCAAGTCTTTGCAGACATTCAAAGATGCTACTCCAGTTTCTTTGATATGAAGAAGTGGGAAGATGGATGATAATGTTTGTGACAAATGCATTTTTCATTGGAAAACACAGAGCTCCGCTGACTAAGAAGCTTCTCAAATAACTTAGCTCCTGGACAGATTTCACAGTTTTTAAGGCAGATCTTAAGAGAGAAAGTCTTCATGAAGATACCTCCTAAACAGGCTGAAGCGATCAAGATTGTAAGATGTTAAGATATGCCCTCTAATGTTATCCCCCACAATAGAATGCAAAAGAAACTGGAGACTCATCAGAGCAACAGGAGGCTGGAGATCACATAGGAGTAGAGACAGGCACAAATTGCTGGTTTAGTGGTTTATGCCTGATCACCCTTTGGACAAATAGGTGTTCAGTGCTTCTCCACCCCACCTCCTCCAGAGGGCACCCACTCAGAGGCAGCACTTGGTGGAGGCAGAGCAGGCAAGCGCTGAACACCTATTAATCCAAAAGATGAACCAGCGGTTCATGCCCATCTTTCAATACAAGCATTCTGCCACAGAAAGATAGAAGTAGACCAAAGGAGATGGTTTATGTCTCTGAGACAGAGACACTAGCTGCATCTTCTACTTTAGGAAGCTATGGTGCTTGTTAAAATTGATGCACGGATCATTTCTAGCCACCTGCTGCACCAAGAGAAATAGAATGTGGATATCAGAGAGTCATCATAGTGCTAAAGAAGTGTCTGAGAAATAATCATCAAGGCTGTGTGCTCCTCAACCCACCCAACTCAGCCCAGATAAATCAAGACCCATAGAAACCCAGGTTGGGTTTCCAATAGATTTTGTGAGTTCTATTAATTCTTGACATACAGCAGAGAATAGAAATGAGTATGTATTCCTGTCCAAAGCAAGAAAACTGTGGACTCCAGAGAGAAGTCTCAAATTCAAAGGAAATGGCTCTATAATCACTGGAGGTCAAAACTTACTTGACATTGACAGATATATATGTACCACAGGAACAATTAATGAGTAATCCTCAATGGTCACTAACAAAGTCATTCTGGTTTGGAATTCATATTTGCCATGAACTGAATAGGTGACCTAAGGCCTTTGCTGCATTTCTCTCATTCACCCCTCAATGCATATGAGTATATTCCCTCATTAGCGTGTATGCAGCTTTTGACACAAGTGCATTACCCAATGTTTGGCATACGAGCAAAACTCTCCTGAAATTGATTCAAGGCAAGCATGGCAATGTGAATCTGTAGTGGTGCCTGCAAAAAGAAGAAAACAGTGAATGATGAGTAAGATGACAGATAGTTTCACAACCCGGAATAAATTGAGTAACATGCTTAGTTACTGTAATAAAAACAAGAGACACTTCAGGCCATGATCCAATTGGATTAATCTAACTGCTGCCCCAATATTCTTAACTAAATAAACTCTGCAATTTGAAGAAAACATATCAGACACAAGCCTTCAACCCTACTCACTTCAGGGGGAAAATGACTCACTCACCATTCACATTCGTCTCCACATTTTCAATGGAACCAGATTTGATTACTATCAAATCTCTAATGTACACCATATGTATCGCACTGAAAATCAGTTTAAACAGTCAAGCTGGACAGAATAAAAACAAAGACAGATAGACCAGCATATTCTGGATGAAGTAAATGGACAGGTGCCAGTGACTTCTCATCATTTCCATGCGCTATATTCCTCTTTCAGTACTGCAAGCCTCTTCCAGAGAGAAAAGGGAGCTGGTTGTGAAATATGCAGCCAGAAAAGAAGACTTGGCCTCCTTTGAACTATATTCAGTTGTCACAACACCTTGAAATTTAGCAATGTTCAGATCAGTACTGTGGACTAGGTGTATCTTTACCTTTTGGACTCATATTTTACTTTGTATGCCACCCCTTATGCTCATGCCCTATGTCCTTCCAATCCCCTCTCTCCTCCTGTCTTGACACACTATTGGGTTATTTAAACACAGTTTGCAATTACATTCAAACCTGAAAACTATGAGACTAAGAATATTTCAACAAATTCAAAAATCAACAAAAACAAACAAAATCTGTTACAAATGAATTTGAATTTTAAAAATACTTTAACATGTGCTCCCAAGATTAGTCTCATATCTACTTTATATATTGTAGTTCCATCTCTGAAATTAAGCAGACAAAAGTCTGTCCAGTAGTAATAAATAGCACGTTTGCCCCTCTGGAAGTGAAAACATTTTCCTGAAAATTAAAGCTAAAATTGTATTCTAATGTGAAACCAAAATCACCTCAGGTTTGCTCAAGTCAGCAACAAGACATCTTGGGTTAACCAACTGCTTCCCCAGCTGCTCCTAGAAGGAATATATATATAAACTCATATACACTTTCTTTAAAAAAGAAGAAAAGCATATCCAAGCAAGCATAAGATTTACCTATATTTACAGGATCAGGTCCAATTAAATTTAAGAAGTTGTAATTTGAGACACAATTGGAAAAGGGTTTCTGTTCTAAGATATTAGAGTCCAAGTATTCCCCCTAAGAGAAAATATAGATTCCAGTGAAAAAGAAGGTTCAGGGAAGGCAAATCACCCCTGCCACAGCTAAAAGGTCCCTTAGGCCAATGGTCCCCAGCCCCCGTCTGCAGCCTGGTGCCGGTCAGTGGACTTCCTTCAACTGGGCTGCGCACACAAATCTCTGGCCCTCCGCCCGCCCAGGGGGGCATTTCACGCTTGCAGACGCCCACCCGCAAGTGTGAGCCCACTGCCGCCTTCTCCCCTGCCAAAACACACACACAAACATGCCCCCTCGACGTAGGGGGGCTGTTGCTAGAAAGGCGATCAGCCGCAGGAAAAGAAGTCATCGCCTCCCTCCCTCTCTCTCGTTTTTTTCACCCCAAGCGCCACAGCCATCCTTGCCTGTCCCTCTCCTCTACCTACGACTGTGAGCTCAGGCAAGGCGCTGCTGTTCTTCAGCGTCTCGTGTGAAAACGCCCCGGGAGCGACACCTGGGGCTCTTTCGCGGCGGACAAAAGGGCTGCTCCCCAGTTCCCGTTGAGGCTAGTCGTGGTAGACACGAGGAAAGGCAGCGGTGCAGCCCCCACTCCCCCGGTCATTGCTCTCGCTGGTGCGGCGCGGTTCCTCCCCGGGCGACACTAATCGCCTGCCTTTCCCTGCCCTCCCATGCCTGGAGCCACTGGCCCACTGCCGCTAAGCAAGCATAAGATTTACCTATATTTACAGGATCAGGTCCAATTAAATTTAAGAAGTTGTAATTTGAGACACAATTGGAAAAGGGTTTCTGTTCTAAGATATTAGAGTTCCAGTATTTCCCCTAAGAGGAAATAAAGATTCCAGTGGCAAAGATGGTTCAGGGAAGGAAAATCAACCCTGCCACAACTAAAAGGTCCCTTAGGCCAATGGTCCCCAGCCCCCGTCCGCAGCCTGGTGCCGGTCAGTGGGCTTCCTTCAACTGGGCTGCGGACACAAATCTCTGGCCCCACGCCTGCCCAGGGGGGTGTTTCACGCTTGCAGACGCCCACCCGCAAGTGTGAGCCCACTGCCGCCTTCTCCCCTGCCAAAACACACACACAAACATGCCCCCTCGACGTGGGGGGGGCTGTTGCTGGAAAGGCGATCGGCCACAGGAAAAGAAGTCATCGCCTCCCTCCCTCTCCCTTTCTCTCGTTCTTACACCCCAAGCGCCACAGCCATCCTTGCCTGTCCCTCTCCTCTACCTACGACTGTGAGCTCAGGCAAGGCGCTGCTGTTCTTCAGCGTCTCGTGTGAAAACGCCCCGGGAGCGACACCTGGGGCTCTTTCGCGGCGGACAAAAGGGCTGCTCCCCAGTTCCCGTTGAGGCTAGTCGTGGTAGACACGAGGAAAGGCAGCGGTGCAGCCCCCACTCCCCCGGTCATTGCTCTCGCTGGTGCGGCGTGGTTCCTCCCCGGTCGCCACTAATCGCCTGGCTTTTCCTGCCCTCCCATGCCTGGAGCCACTGGCCCACTGCCGCTTTCTCCCCCACCAAAACACACACACACACACTCACCATGGAGGGGCTGTTGCTGCAAAGGCGACAGCCTGCTGCTGAAAATGCCTTCCTTTTTACCTCTTCCACCCCACCACCAGCACTGACTTAGAATCTCTCTCTCTCTGCCTGCCTGGAGCCATGTGCCCTCTACCACCTTTTCCCCGCCAAAACACACACACACACTCGGGGGGGCTGGGCTGTTGCTGAGGGAGGGAGGAGATGACTTCTTTTCCTGTGGCTGATCGCCTTTCCAGCAACAGCTCCCCACGCCGAGGGGGCATGTGTGTGTGTGTGTGTGTGTGTGTGTGTGTGTTTGTTTTGGCAGGGGAGAAGGTGGCATTTGGGCTCACACTTCCAGGTGAGCACGGGTGCCCCGCCCCCCAACCAATCCGCGGCCCGAAAAACGTTGGGGACCTCTGCCTTAGGCACAAAAGCTGGGTTTAACCTCCATCATAATGAATGTATTTCTTAACCTTCTTCAGTGTAAGTTAATATGTAACATTTACAGTGGGCCTTCTACTTACGAACAGCCTTAGTTGCGAACGTTTTGGGTTATGAACCCAATCTCATCGCAAGAAGCAGACCCTACTTGCGAACGCAGATCAAGTTACGAACCCAAAAGGCAAGGAGAAAGGGCGGGAAATTCAAATTTCCTGTCCTTCCTCCCTGCCTTTGGAGCTTATATGCTGCCATTCTAACCATAGTGGACACAAGGTGGCTCGACTAGACATTTTTAGCCAATACGTTATATTATTGCTGTTTAGCACTACCTTAATAGATGGGTTTTGTGCATGGCAAAAGTCATTTAGCAGTACAAACCATAACACTGCATAAATAAATGACTACGCAAATCAGGTTAACGACTTACATACTCATGTATGCAAGGACACAGGTCCATTCAGAGTAGAGATACTGGCAAAAAGGGATATAATTCTGTAATGAATTTGTACTACAGGTATAAAGTAAATTAATAATACAGTACTATATCAAATATATCCTAGAGATACCTCTTTTATATGTATATCTTGCTCAGTCACAGGATGTATATGTATAAGGCTAAGTCCAATACCCACTTATTAGAAATTAATGGGACATAATAATTTAGTGACTATTTAATTCTTTTCCATGAGCATGCTCTAAATCGGGTAAATCCTGCATTTAGCCTATTACTTACTGCCCACTGTCTAGAATCCAAGTTCAGTCTATATGCTGCTGTTTACATTAAAGTAATAATGCATACATATAGCTTTTTGCTTGGTTCTATTTGTTTTTAGCTGTCGTTGTCAGTTAAGGAAAGAAATTTTTTCTTTAACCAAGGTACTTACAAAATTAAATATTTTAGGTGTCTTTACTTGGACAGCTATGCCACCATGTAAGTAAGGTTCCACATTGGCAGTATTCCCAATGCTAAAAGAATAAGGTGATAGCACTGAAAAAGAGAACCAGGTCAGAGTGTTTAAAGTTCTTGAAACAAAGAAAAAAAACAAAGCAAACATATAAATAGAACAGGGATGTAGAAAGGAGGACCATTTGAATTTATATATTATCTATCAATGAAGTTGAATTGAACAGACTTTACACATGCAAGTACACAACATGTATGTTAAAAGAATATTCCAGCTTTGTGCCACATTAGTCCATATTCTATACAAAAAAGGGTACACAAATGCAAGAATTGGTGGTAACTTTTGATGGATCACTAAAAAAATAAAACAAATAGCAAACTTTTGTGGGTGAAATCCACTTCCTCAGGCTTTAAGCACACCCCCTTCATAGATGAAGATTTCAACATGCCTAATGAAACTGGTGGCGAGTGTTAGGGGGAACAGAGATCTCCACTCTGGTATTTTTGGATGAGACTATCTAGATCCCTTTATAGTATGACTTCAGAAATTATGAAATGACTTTGACCATCTAGATGCATAATCTGTGCTAGAAACTAGACAGAAAAGTTTGTCCCTGCTTTCTCTGCTCATCTACTCTGCAATGTTTGGTACGACTCACAACAGCATCCTTCTGGATCACTTAGGAGTCCTATGGAGTGGCAAGAGTAAAGTAGTAGCGACACAAAGGAACAATATGAAAGAAAAATATATTCCTATCAAAATGAAAAATACTGTTTCTACACAAACCAGAAGAGTTATAGAAAACATAGCTTACCAGTTACTTGATGTGTGGATCCATTTAAACATGTCATTCCATTAATTTCCCGAAAAGTTACAAACTGTCCTGTTTCCAGCTTGTGAGGATTATTATCAAGGCAGGTGACAATACCAGGATTGGACTGAAATCGTTATTCATCATAAAAAAATAAAAAAGAGATCAAAGCCAATACAAATAATTTCCATGTAATAATAATCCATATAATTCTGTATACACTATTATAATGCCAACTATCTGCATGTCATTCTAGCATTCCCAGAACCAAACAATACAAAGCACAGAACCAAGTTAAAAGGGTTATAGGGTTATGCCCTTTTACTAAAACACCTCATGAGATTAAAAAAAAAAGGGAAAACAAAAATGTATTCACTTGTCTATCAGGTACAAAAGCAAAACACTTGCAAGAAAATTAGCATACCTATTCCAAAATCACTTTGCTAATTCTAGTTAATGCTTCTCTTCCTCTTTCCATGCCCCCTTCCATCATATTCTGGATATACACTCCTAGCAGAGACTACCTCAGATTTGTGTCTGGTAGACTGTTGCACCACTTCTCCTAAATAAATACCCAAAGCATACTACACTCATTTCTTTCATATAAAATGCACTGTTACTAAAAACAAATTACATATGATTGCAAGAAAAGCTGTGCTCAATCCAACCAAAGACCTATGGAGGCTATATACGTATCAGTATTTAACCATTTCATTAGCATTTGTATATAATTGTACTTCTTGCTTTGTTTTAAATATGTTGGTTTCAAGAAAAATCTAAAGTCAAAGATTTCAGCCAAATTCAAAATTTAAAGAAGACAATTAAATATACAAATAAAATAAAAAATTAATATTGCAGAGCTCTGTCCTCACCTGAGATATGTTTGAAATGAAGATTTCTTTGGGTTCCTCTCCTGTGGTGTCGAGCACTTCAAATTCATCACCAAAGTCACAAAACAGACGTGCCCATATCCCATACACATCTGCACTTATAAACTACAAGAAAGGCAAGACAGATAGTTGCCCAGGTTTAGACCAAAGATTTTGTTCCTTGTGCAGAGAATCTTTTTACTGATGAAATTGGGTGATGGAACTGGATGATACTGAATGGATGTGAAAAGACAAAAGACGACCAACTGTGCACTTTTTCAACAGACTCCAAACCATTCTCTCTTGTCTGTCTTAAATACCAATTAGATTGTGTGAGAGCATATACACATTTTCCCTGGGGAAAAGCTTCATCTTGCATAGCTGTTCTGATGTACTCTTTCTCACACAGGTATGCCAGATTATGTAAACAGGATGGATCTCCCTTTTTATTCTATATTTGCATGTGATCTACTCATGCAAATAAATCCTTTGTTCAGATTTATAAATTGGCCAATTTTATGTTTTAAGAACTTTAAAATGCCCTTTTTGTGCATCCTCATTGAAAAGGGTCAGATTTTGAGGGCAGAAAAACAAGGCAATTTCAAAAGATAGGATTGGTTTTATCTGGAATGTTTCTGCATAGTAGGACCGAACCAAAAGGTAGATCTTCCTGCTGTCCTTTGTTTCTTTGAATGGGAAAACTATGCAGCTTTCTCTGTTTTGAAAACATTTGAACAAAGAGATTTAAATAAGTTTTTAAAAGCTTCCAACTACAACAATCAGTTACATGGGTAAAAGGTAAATGTTCCCCTTGATATTTAGTCCAGTCGTGTCTGACTCTAGGGCGCGGTGCTCATCCCCATTCCCAAACCATGGAGACACCATTTGTCCAAAGACAGTTTCTGTGGTCATATGGTCAGCGCGACTAGACACAGAACGCCATTACCTTCCCACCGAGGTGGTACCTATTTATCTACTCGCATTTTTACATGCTTTCGAACTGCTAGGTTGGAAGGAGATTCAGTTACATAGCATATAACAAAAACTACCATGCCTGAACATTTTTTATTTGTCTTTTATTGTTTAAGATATTTGCTTTTATATCTGATATACATTTCCTTAAATTCTGTTCTAAATTTAATTGCATACTATGCTTTGTGATTTTCCCATCTACCTATCAGTGGTCTTACTCTGGTATGGTCCCTGGATAACATAGAAGCCTTGTTTTTTAAAAAAATTAGTAGGGTATATATTTGTTCGGTGAATTCTAGATAGGGATAAAGTTTTTTTCTGAAGGAAGTAATCCTTTTAATACCCTAGATCAGTGATGGTGAACCTTTTTGAGCCCGAGTGCCCAAACTGGAAAAAGGGGGGGGGAACGGGGAAAACAAACCTGGCGCACAGCAGCAGAAGGGGGAATCCCGGGCACGGAGGTGCCTCCAGACCCCACTCCGATTCCGCCTCCAGTCGTGCCCAACCCTGCCACTGCCTATAGCTTGGCCAGCCCACCGCTGCCAGCACCAGCTGCTCTGGATCCTGGCCTGCCACCTGTCAGGGCTCCAGCACCGCGGGTGCAGCCGCCTCTTCAGGTTTGGCTGTCAGGGATGATGGTGAACCTTTTTGAGCCTGAGTGCCCAAACTGGAAAAAAAGGGGGGACGGGGAAAACAAGCCTGGCGCACAGCGGCAGAAGGGGGAATCCCGGGCACGGAGGTGCCTCCAGACCCCACTCCGATTCCGCCTCCAGTCGTGCCCAACCCTGCCACTGCCTATAGCTTGGCCAGCCCACCGCTGCCAGCACCAGCTGCTCTGGATCCTGGCCTGCCACCTGTCAGGGCTCCAGCACCGCGGGTGCAGCCGCCTCTTCAGGTTTGGCTGTCAGGGATACCGATCTAGCGACTTATGGCTCATGTGCCCACAGGGAGGGCTCTGCGTGGCAGCTGTGGCACATGTGCCATAGGTTCACCATCGCTGCCCTAGATCCTAAATCATTTAGGGATTTTAAATCCAGCCATCTGAATTTTGATCCGAAATTTTCTGGGCTTTAGTGGCACTGTTTCAAAGGTGGAAAAGACTGCTGATTGGCTATGTGGAGTTCTAGTTTTGAATTTTGCAATACAGTGGGAATTTTGATCCGAAATTTTCTGGGCTTTAGCGGCACTGTTTCAAAGGTGAAAAAGACTGTTGATTGGCTATGTAGAGTTCTAGTTTTGATTTTTGCAATAACTCATTTTAGACTTTTCGAGTTACAGACTTCTCTGGCCACAAAATTTAGATTCGACTTACAGTCAGAGAATTGAACTACAGACCAGAAAAAAAACCAAAATGGAACAAAAATGGAACAAAAACGGCTGGTTACGGATTAATCAGTTTTCAATGTATTGTAGGTCAATGGAGACTCGACCTACAGACTTTTCGACCTGCAGCCACTGTTCCAATACGGATTAACTCCGTAAGTAGAGGGTCCACTGTAACTCATTTCAAAGAAAAGAGGGATCACATACAAAATATCACAAAACCAAGCAAGACATTAATAATAATTACTGGACTTCATGTTAATTCCCAGTTATGTCCATTCTTCCCAGGGTTTTCCAAAATTGGCTTGCCATTCCCTTCTTCTGAGTGCATCGTGAGACTGTGCAGCCTGCCCAAAATGACATAGGCTGGCTCTTCTCCCATCACGCACAATGGACAACCAAAATGCTGATCACGGTAGAGGGTCCACTGTAACTCATTTCAAAGAAAAGAGGGATCACATACAAAATATCACAAAACCAAGCAAGACATTAATAATAATTACTGGACTTCATGTTAATTCCCAGTTATGTCCATTCTTCCCAGGGTTTTCCAAAATTGGCTTGCCATTCCCTTCTTCTGAGTGCATCGTGAGACTGTGCAGCCTGCCCAAAATGACACAGGCTGGCTCTTCTCCCATCACACACAATGGACAACCAAAATGCTGATCACAGGTTCAACTGTCAAGTGCTCCAACCCACTAAACTATCCAGCCAGCTACTAAGATGTTACTGAACTACTTATTGAAGGGACCACAGCTGACACAAACAGCTTCAGCTAAAGAAATGTTCTTGTACCATAGAGGCCACTTGGGAATTGAAAGGAAAGGCTAGATCTAGCAGCTCCCTCAGCTGTACCATACACGCATCCCATTTCAAAACAGGCTAGAAATACTTCCCAGCTCAGATAAGCCATTTATTTAACAAAAGAAAATCCATGAACAGAACAGCCAATGTTCCATTTAGTGGACCAGGATGATATGAACCACTAAAAAAGGTACAATTAGGAAAACTTTCAGAACAGATGGGCCTAAACATTATTAGCCAATACATTACATTACTACTGTTCAACATTACCTTGATAGGTGGATGTTGTGCATGGCAAAAATCATTTATCTTCTTCTGAAGTGACAGCTTCATTTCGGTTACTATGACACACTTTTGAAAGAAAAAACCCAGAGATAAGTCCTAGGCTATCAAGAGATTTCTTTACAACATTCCAGTACATTTAAAAAATAACCATATATTCACTTCTCAACAAAAAAAGAACCTTGATTTTTTTTTGTGGCATATATATAAATATTCCAAAACTTAAGATGTGTAGGCCTAGAATGTCACCTCTCATTCTTGAACAGTTATGAAACAGACTTTATACAAACTCTACTCCTTACATTGTCAAAGGAGTTAGCCACTGAACCTCTCTCCCCAAATGTCTTCTTTATTCATTTCATCTTAATGGTTTCTACCTCTTTTACCTCAGTTGATTCCTGATCTGGACTGCTAACAGTATTATAAGCCTAGAGTCAAACTGGCTGTTCAGAAGAAATCAGTCAGAACTTAAGATGTCAATTCCAAGAACTATAAGCAGCTTCTGTTATATTGGAATCGGCCTAGGTTTTGTGTTTACATTGCTTATGAAATTTTTTCACTACTTCCCCAGTTGATTGAAGCTTGAAAAACATAATAAAGATCTAATTTAATAAAAGCATATTTTAATAAAGCAAAATCCTTCTTATATCTTCCAAAAGCATACTATAAAGTGATGGATACTGTGATCCCTGTCTCCCTCCCTTCAGTGTACCCCAAGTCCTCTAGAACAGTGGCTCCCAACCTTGGGCCTCCAGATGTTCTTGGACTACAACTCCCAGAAGTCTTCACCACCACCTCTGCTGGCCAGGATTTCTGGCAGTTGAAGTCCAAGAACATCTGGAGGTCCAAGGTTGAGGACCCCAGCTCTAGAAGACAGCCAAAGACAGAGTCAGATTCCCATTCTGACCTGATTTTGTAGGCACTCGGGGATCAGAAAAAGGAACTGTCACTACACTTGAGTGTCTTCAATTCCAAAATTTAAAGAAAGATGTTGAGCATACACCGTCTCCCAAGAGGACATATACAGAGCAGGACTCAGAAAAGGGAAGGGGACCCAAATAATAACAACTATCTACCAAAACCAAACAAAGCCTATGTAGCCCTGGGAAGTCAGATATTTCAAACACAGGTCTCATACCTGATATTGTCCAAGGAAAGAGATGTCTGTAATTTCATTCAGTGGTGCAGTTGATGACGTCACCTGGACATAAGGGTTCAGCTCTGCAATATGATGTCGTGTTGCCTCGGCTCTGAAATACATTTTGTAATTGCTCTATTATTAGAAGAACTAATCTTACAAACATATCAACACATATTGCCAGAAACATCACATATAACCATATAAAAAATTGCTCCCCCAAATTACAGATCCATTCCTACCTTGTTTAGATGTTTACTTACTATAGCCACCCATACTGATAATTAGACCATATTAATTAAATAAAATAGGGACCAGTTTTCAGAATACATAATTTTTAATTATGTAATGATCTAACTTATACAGCATTAGCTAGCTCTGAGCTTTGTTACTTGTATTCTGATTCAAACTATAATGGCAGGTAAGTACAACAGCTTACCTTGAAATATAATTTGATTTATTTTACAGAAAACTGCAGATTTTATAGAAAAGATTTCAACCAGGTTTTGTCATATTTTCCCCTGAAATAACTTTCATACACACTAGCATGTTCTAATTTTTTAAATTACATTACAGACAGTGATCTGTCATAAAAATCTATTGCTATTTTTTCTCTCAGAAAACTTTCCATTTAAATACAATGTTGCACAGAATTAATTAGTAACACAAAGAACAGACACAATACGGTTTAATCAAAAACTGTAAGATTTGGTTAACTTTTTCCAAGTCACTCTTCCAATTTCCAGAGCTTCACATATGGTAAAATCAGTATGTTAACAGTTTGTATTTTACTGTATGCCATGAAATTGCACACTTCAACACAAGCTATTATCAGATAGAAGCATCTGAAACATTTATGACAGAATGCTAAGAATTTCCTGGATCAAGAAGATGAATAACAAAGAAGTACACTATACAAGTAAATAATTAAGAAATCATAAAAATAAAATGCTAGAATGATTATGCTACTCAAGCTAAATAAAATGGGAACAGAGGTGCAGCAAAGACTCATTAACTGAAAAATCCTAGAGACTGGTTTGGATGCAATCAACAGCACTGTTAAGAGCAGTCCTGTACAAAATCAGTATAGCCATGATGAGGTTCAATGTCTTGTGTGTCATCATGGCCATCATTTTTCTCCCTTAAACAAAATGTAAGGAAGTTTATATTGCTGAATTGTAAAGTCTTTAAATATTTATAAGTATTTCAACTGAAAATCTAAGTATGAAGAATTGAATGTATTTGCATATAACATTAAAAGCATATTAAATGAATTTTATTGCATTATTTCTTTCCAGTCAAATATTTCAGTTTAGCTAATTTGGTTTCTGGAAAAACTCTCAAGATATTTATACCACACACCTCCATGTGTTGCAGGGGAACAGGGAATATCTGCAATAGCCAGAGTCCTAGTCAATTCAAAATCCTAGAGAAAGAAGTGACTTTTTTGCCATTTATTTTTTATTTATTTATTTTTACTTTTCATGCCACTGAAACCATTATTTTGTGTAATATCTAGGTTATCCCATTATCATTGTTTTTCCCACATATCCATTGCAACTACCAGCATAATGGACAAGCATATCCATTACAACTACTAGTGTTAAGACTAATACAGTATTAGAAAGAAAGTAGTTTAACTGCCTTGCTCCTGCATTGCACCTAATCAGTAAAGAATATAATGGCTGAAATGCTGTTGTTTTGTTAAACGGGTGGAAAGCAAAAGGTGTAACATTCAGTCCTTCCTAGTCAGCAATTAATAAGTTAGCACAGGGATTCTTGAGAGTATGCACACCTATTGGCTTGTGTGTGACTGAATCTCAGCAGGGACCCCATAATTGCTAGCTAGAAAAGACAGAATGTTTCACCTTCTCCATAACAAAGCAGCAGAATTTCAGCCAATGTGGATTTTCTGTTTCAGAGAGGAAGAGACAGTCACCATTCTGCAGCAGAATTATACTCCTCTGCCCCCCCACCCCAATGAATGGGGGGGGGGAGACAGCTTCCCAGCTTCTCTCTTTAAATACAGTATATCCAAACCACATTCAGTCATTAACTGCAATAAACAGAGAAATCAATCCCACTATTTTAAGGTCAAGAATGCAAGCTTGTTTTTTAGAAAAAGGAAACTTAAAATATAGTAGAATTGGCATCCACAGTGAGCCATGGAGTTAAATCAGTTTACAGTTAGTTCTGAGGAATCTTACAGACCTGTTTCTGAGATTTAGAATATCATCTTCATGAACAAAAAAGTTTGTTCCTAAATCCCATGTGGTGCATTGCTTAGTGTCATGGATGGTGAGAGCCTTCAGGAAAAATCAGTAAGACAAGATGGAAACATATTTTAAGTGGCTTTTACATAACATCACAAGCAAATGCATATGACTATTTTTCACTAGAATCATGCCAATTTACCTAGTTCCTCCATCCCCTTATGTAACAGAGCTAATCCATATTCTGATTTTCTCCCCACCCCAATCAATTACTTGAAGCAGCACCAGGAAAAAAGCAAATCACCGTGACATTAATGGTATACTTTCTTAGATGCTGCAGAGGGACCAGCTGCTGGTTAGGATATTTAACTTTAGGCATGCATTTAGTGTACTATCTCAGATGGCCTATAATTCTTGAGCTCCTACATATCTGTTTCTTCAAATGAGGAAGAGACAGTCACCATTCTGCAGCAGAATTATACTCCTCTGCCCCCCCACCCCAATGAATGGGGGGGGGGAGACAGCTTCCCAGCTTCTCTCTTTAAATATATCCAAACCACATTCAGTCATTAACTGCAATAAACAGAGAAATCAATCCCACTATTTTAAGGTCAAGAATGCAAGCTTGTTTTTTAGAAAAAGGAAACTTAAAATATAGTAGAATTGGCATCCACAGTGAGCCATGGAGTTAAATCAGTTTACAGTTAGTTCTGAGGAATCTTACAGACCTGTTTCTCAGATTTAGAATATCATCTTCATGAACAAAAAAGTTTGTTCCTAAATCCCATGTGGTGCATTGCTTAGTGTCATGGATGGTGAGAGCCTTCAGGAAAAATCAGTAAGACAAGATGGAAACATATTTTAAGTGGCTTTTACATAACATCACAAGCAAATGCATATGACTATTTTTCACTAGAATCATGCCAATTTACCTAGTTCCTCCATCCCCTTATGTAACAGAGCTAATCCATATTCTGATTTTCTCCCCACCCCAATCAATTACTTGAAGCAGCACCAGGAAAAAAGCAAATCACCGTGACATTAATGGTATACTTTCTTAGATGCTGCAGAGGGACCAGCTGCTGGTTAGGATATTTAACTTTAGGTATGCATGTAGTGTACTATCTCAGGTGGCCTATAATTCTTGAAGCCCTACATATCTGGCTCTTCAAATACATATGTTTGTCACAAATATCAAACCCACAATTTTGATTAAAATTTTATATTTCTGCCATCCCTTTTCCATGATATATCCAATCTCCACAGTTCTTTCTATCAACTTTTTCTAAGCATGTTAAGGAATTTTTATTCAATTCCGATCTAGCAACAAAAAATAATTCATATGGAGAAAATACTTGGGAATAATGAGGGTGGAGTCAGCCAACCACTATGAAAGACAGTGGAATGCTATAAGCACATATCTAAAGGAAAGGTTCCTGGTGCAGAATAATACTGGGCAGAAATCTCATAGATATTTGGGAGGAGGAAATCATTTTTCTACTGTCCTATTGCAGGATATTGCTGTTCTATAATGGACCATCCATCTCTTCTCAGTTCACCTTGGAATGGTTTGGAACTGAATGTCAGTAATGTCAGGCAAACAAATGTGCAGCTTACTCAAGACAAGACAGAGATGCCCCTCCTTGGTAAAAAGGCAGATCAGTAAATAGTTAGGCAGACTCTGAGTTGTGGGGTTATACTCTCCCTGAAAACTCACGTTACAGTTTAGGTGTAATCCTGAATTTGGCTCTAAGTATGGATGCCTCACAAGGGGACAGGCAGACAAAGACTTCTCTTTCTAAGAAGGTTTTCAGCAAGTACTAACCACTCCATACAGAAACCTTTTGACAATTGAATAGGACAACTGAGAAACAGTTTTTACTGTGGAATGTTGTTTCATAAGTGTGTGTCTTTAAACTGCTGGTCTTTGGTATTATTGTATGTTTAACTGTTTTTAATACTATAACTTAAAATACTGCCGGTCCCACTCACTCTTCACAGGTGGTGCAACTGAGAGCATTGACCCTAGGGAGGCCTGCAGGAAAAGAACAAGGAACCAGGCCTTTCTCTGGAATGATCTACCATTGGAAATTTGCCTGGCTCTCTCACTGATGTCTTTTTAAAAACTTCTTAAAACATTTTTATTCCAGCAGGTATTTCATAATCAGCCAAGTTAAGATTAATGAGAGTATCATCTTGTTTTGTCTGTTTTTAGTTTGTTCAAATCCTTCTTATTTAAGTTAGTCAATTTATTTATTTATTTATTTAACTTATATGCTGCCCAGAGACCTTTGGGTAGAGTGGGTGGCACATAAGTTAAATAAAATAAATAAATAAATAAAAACCTTTATTGACGTATACAAAACAACTAGACGAAAACTACATTCAGTAAAACTTGATTACACCTTTCTGGTACTATATCAATGTTTGTTTAGATTCAATGTAGTTTTGCTATTTATGCCGCAAGGCACACTCTCCACCCTATCCTATGTACAGTGGTGCCTTGCATTACGACGTTAATTCATTCCAGCAAAATCGCTGTAGAACGAAAACGTCGTAATGCGAAATAAAAAAGCCCATAGATACGCATTAAAACCCGATTAATGCGTTCTATGGGCTTGAAACTCACCGTCCAGCGAAGATCCTCCACAGCGCGGCCATTTTCGCTGCCTGTGCAGCGAGGAATCTGTCTCAGAAAAGAGCGGGGAGCCATTTTTTTACCCGGCAGCCATTTTGAAACCGCCGATCAGCTGGCCGAAAATCGTCGTTTTGCGAGAATCGGTTCCCGAAGCAGGGAACCGATCATCGCAAAGCGAAATTCCCCCATTGAAACCATCGTAAAGCGACTGCTTTTGCGATCTCTAAAAGTTCGTCGTAATGCGGTTTCGTTGTTAAACGGGGCGCTCGTCTTGCGAGGCACCACTGTACTTAATAATAATAATAATTAAAACTTTTATTGTTATAATTAACCCAATGATTACATCAGAAGATCCTTAAACCTGGCTCAACGAGGGAGTGCTGGTTCAAACTGTGCTATTTTGGCATGTTCACTATGTGTGCTATGAAACATGCTACTATCTCCACCCTGACTTCCACCTTATCTTTTAACAGAAAACGCATTCTGTCTATATCTGACCACCTCTTACGTTAAGCATTATTGGGCCCAGATATTGAGCGCAGGGTTCAGAATAGAAACACATGTGTACAAGCGACTCAGTTCTTCCCAGGTCACAAGAGCAGTTCCTCTCATTGTAAGGAATACCCTGCCAGATAATACTGCTGCCAGATAATACTGCTGAAGGCATTACATTAAATCTGGCCAGGGAATAGGCTCTGTGTTTTTAATTTAAGTTAGTTTAATTTGGAGCACGTTGTTATATTATGTTTATGTTTTATTGTGTTGTGAACCACCCAGAGTGACCACTGGTCAGATGGGCAGTATAAAAATTTATTTACTTATTATCTATTATATTAATTCAATTTGTATCCTGCTCTCATAAGTATCAGAGCACTACTCTGGGTGGGTTACAACATGTATAATAAAAAACAAAAATAAAAATAGAGATATTAAAACCAATAACAATAACTCTAAAAAATCATATGGCACCAACTAATCCCCAGAGTGGATGGAAGAAATAAGAGGGAAAAGGGGAAAAAGGGGGAGAGGTGATCAGCTGGGATCAGTGTGGAAAGCCTCCCTGAAAAGCAATGTCTTTAATTGCTTCCTAAATGTCCACAGGGAGGGGGCTAGGCGGAATGAATGAATGAATTTTCTTGTAGTATCTGCTTTTTAAAAATCACGTATGAGTCCTGAGGTCCCTGCACCAAGAGAAAGTTAGGAGGAAAATATATATTTATTCTACTTTGCTTTTCTTCACCACAACTTCGGGGGGGGGGGGCTGGCCAACACTCTTCACTCCCAAAAGTTGTCTACCTATGATGTATGTATTTGTGAAAGGGCATATGAACAACTACTCTCACCACAAAATAGTGAAAGGGCATATGAACAACTACTCTCACTACAAAATATTACTACTGTTTTCCCGAAAATAAGACCTAACCTGAAAATAAGCCCTAGTATGATTTTTCAGGATGCTCGTAATATAAGCCCTACCCCCAAAATAAGCCCCAGTTAAGTAAAATCCCGCCCTACACCACTGTGCAGCAACCCCCTCCATGACTATAAAATAAAACATCCCCTGAAAAGAAGGCCTAATGTGTTTTTGGAGCAAAAAATAATATAAGACCCTGTCTTATTTTTGGGGAAACAGCAGTACATCCTGATATACCAACCACATATAACAGCATAACACATGTAGTACTAAGACGTTAATTTTTTACCATTTTGCTACTCAAATTTAATGACCATGACCCCTTTAAATATCATCATCTATGTGAAAAAAACATTATTCCACACTTTAAAACAAAATTAACTTGGAACAAATTACTTCTCCTTACCTTTATTCCTGCAAGGACTATGTTCTTAGCTGAAAAGAAGAATAATCAGTATAAACTTCTTAAAACAGCTAGCTTACTACTGCTCCTTATTCTAAGTACAGGAATTCTTCTCAGTCCGACACCTACAAATAGCACAACTGTTACACAGCAAGAAAGGTCTACACGTAGTTCTGCTATAACTGTTATCCATAAATTAATCCATAATCTGTTTCTTCCTACCTCCTTAAGATCCAGCTATTGCTAAAACAAGCAAACACACTACTGTTATGTTACATGCCATCAAGTCATCTCCAACTTGTGGTGATCCTACTAAGATTTCCAGATATGTGCAATACTCAGATAGTAGCTTACCACTGGCATCACTCAGTGAGTTTTCATGAACAGTTCAAAAAGATTTGAACACAAGTCTCCTGATTTCCAGTCTGACACTCTTATCTGAAACATCACAGTGGCTCTTAAATGTCATTGTACATAGCACTATGTAGCTATTAGTCATCCCATTACCTCAATCAGTCTTAATACAGAGTGATTAGAGTGGATTAAGATCGATTTAGGTGATAGTTATCCTACTTATAGCTGGATAACTCAGTGGTTTAGGTTCTTGTGTGTGGAGGCAAAAATTGGCAATTCAATTCACCACTGTGCATTCTGTGAGCAGAGCCAGTATGTATGGCCTTAGGCAAGCTTCACAGTCTTAGGACACCCCCCCACCCGCCCAGAAGAAAGGAATGGAAAACCACTTCTGAGCATTCTCTATCTGGAAAATCCCTAAAATGGTCCCCATAATTCAGAATTCACTTGGTGGCATATCATCATCACTATCACCACGACCACCATCACTATCATCACCATCAATCATTCTACTATCATCTGTGTCATTCACATTCTGATACTTCGAACAAGCTAGCATTTAGTCCGAGGCTGAAATTTCTATGCCGGAACTGACAAACTGAGACATTTTCTTGAAGTAGAATCACAGCTTAATCCTTATATAAAATGATTAAAGAGAATATGAAGATACAATCTCACTTATTGCAAGCAGTTCTAATGGTACATGAAATATCTCCATATTTAGTATATTCAACTTAGTAGAGGGTACAACCTAAGCTTAAATTATGGTACAGGGAATTTAAAATAATGCTCTCCATAAAACATGGAGCCAGAGGAAAATCTAACCAGTATTTTCTAACTTACCAATTTCTACTCCAAGCCCACCCATTCCACTCAGGAACACATGTGACTGAGCCATCTTCTGCATTGCTGTGTCTCCAAGAACGTATCTTTGCCGACTACATACAATGAAAAGAAGACAGAAGTAAATAGACATGAATTCAGTAATAGTAGATACTGAAATGCCTTGGGAAACAGAGCATGAGGGCAGCAGCTCATATCCACTGCTTTTTCTTAATATTTGCCCTTCAGGAACATATTGCTTCTGATCAGAGAGGTCCATCTAAATATCCTACACAATTAATTTTAGAAAGTATTTAAGATCCAAAATAGGCATGTAATATATAGATCCCCTACTTTCCCCCCACTGATGTAACAATGGCAAAACAGGCAACTTCCAAGCAGAAAAGCAACAACAGGAGAGTTGAGCAGCTTTTCCCCATTCCTTTGCTCAAACTTATTTTCTCTCAAAACTACTTTTTTATTCAAAAAGTACAAAGAACTAATACTGTCATGAATGTTTACAGAACATGAAAGGCTACATGTTCACATGTTACTGCTTTAGTAACAGCTTGTGTGACAAATAAGTACTAGATCCAATGCCAGATTGAACTAGACCTACTGAAATAAACAGGGCTTACACGAGTGGAAACTAAGGTCCCATTTCTCTCATTGAGTCTACTTCAGCAGAGATTACCACCGGATCTGTGTGTGTTCTATACCATCAAATTCTTTCTGACTTAGAGTGATTCTATGATTAATGCCCTCCTCAAAGATCCTATCACTGAGCTATCTAGCAGTAACATAAGCTATGTCCTACATCACCTCATAATGACAAAATACTAGTATACAACCTTCAGTGAATAGAAGACAAATGAACCCTCAGTGCTATTATGAAAGTAAAACTAATATTGATTATGTTTAATTAAAATTCTTACCTGTATAAAGCATCATCAATTTCCATAGAATCTGCAGCCATAATAATGTATTTGCTTGGCCTGAAAGAAAAACACATAGCTGTGTTTCTAAAGGCAATAGCACTGTACATTTCACCTTTGTCTTCTCAAATGAGAAAAATACATGGAATGATATGACTTGCATGTAATGATGTACAGAAATTAAAATGGTATTATATTGATTATTTAAGATTTGATGCACAAGGAAAAATAAGGCCCTAGGAAACTCATAACAGCTCCCTAAGTAACGTCTATTCAGAAGACAGATTCAGTGATTTCACTGGATTTTACTCCCATATAATCGTGCATGTATCTTTACGCAACAGTATGTAAATACAGTATATTTAAATTGTTAGACATGGAAGTGGTGTAAGCCAAATCTGGTGAGTTACTGTTCAGTGTATTTTAAAATATACTGGTCAAAATCCTATTACAAATTTAAACCTATGTAACTCTGTAGTGAGTTACAGCATAACTCTGTAGTGAGTTCAAATTAAGAAGTTAATATAGGCATTTGCTGTTGCACACCAAGCCATGTGGCCTGGCACACAATAGAAATGTTTACATTGCCTTCTTTTTTTGCAGCACCCCCCCCCCCCGGACACTTAGAAATGAACAGAATGAGATCTGGTTCAAAGATTATTAAGCAATAATGAAACTAACCCAATTAATTAATAAGATTGACTAAAATTTATTTAAACATATAATATAGATTCCATTTTAACACTTTTACTAGTCTTCCTTTAAATATTCATTACCTAATTCTTCCATGCATTTTAGTCTCCTTTCATCGCCGATGTGACTTCAAAGTCATGTATTCTCCCTCATCTTTGTCACTGACTAGTCTGAACGTTCCATAAATACAGTAGTTAGCTTTACAGACCACATATGGAAGTAAAATACAGTAATTGTTTCTTCCACAGCAGTGACTTAAGAACTACAGTATTTGTTAAATAACATTCATCTCAGCTATATCTTCAGCTGTTCATTATCTGCTATGGACTTTTTCAGGATCTAAACACATACTAATTCAGCAACCAAATTCAACGCTCAAAACTTTTTTTTAATTCCAGAAGCTATAGGATATAACAACATTTTTAATGAGATCTCCTAATCATTATTACATCACATTACATGCATATTTTCAGAAAAACAAGTCTCACTATGTTCAATTTGTCATTTATTAAGAACTAAATTTTATCCACCCTATACTATTTAGAAGTCTGATTATTCAGGATGCAAAACCATAGAGTGAGCCTACATGGGTATAGCAGGCTGCCCAAAGCATATCTTTGCCCTCCAATACAGTACATAGAAGCTGGTGGGGCTTGAGCATCCCCATTCTCATCACATGAGGAGAAGAATACCAGAATGAATATGGCTCCAGTTAACATTAATCGGGTTTCACTTCTAACCACTTTTTTAACATTGAAATCCTGGTTTCAAATTCTAGATTAGACATTTAAAAAACACTAAATATTCATCAAAATCAGTAAGCACTGTTGATGCTAGATACCCATTTTCAGGGCTAATTCATCTGCAGAGGAGTAGAGGTCTCTCAAACATGGGTAAGGGAATCACTGTGTTACACATGGATCATCTCTATGTGAATTCCTTAAATATTCAGTAGTGTTGGCCATGATCAAAGCAAGATTTCATTCAAACACATTTGATGGGATGCATACAGATTGTATGTCTGTATTCTTCTGAAAAATTTTCATTAATCATCATCAGTAACGGCCTCCAACTACCTCAGCTGTTGTTCATTCGAGGATGAGACCTCGTCACATATGGATTCTTCAAAATTGGATAACTTAGAGGACACTTCCCTTTTTTAAGAAACTAGTCTTCACAGATTAGTTATCTCTTCAGTTACAATAGTGGACAGAACCCCCACATCTTTTGATGGGTGTGCCATTCAGGAGGAAGCATATATAGCAAAGGAAGAAAAGAGAAGTGGACAGTAGTTTAAATGTTAAATCAGAAAGATTGAATCTACTGTTATTTAGTCTCAGTTGTGACTCTATATCTTCTTGCCATAATGTAAGTCTCACTGCACTCAGCACAACTTAATTCTGAACCGATGTGTATAGTGTCAGTGTCAGGTAATTCAGTATTTCTTTTTAGTATTCTATTTGCAACGCATAACAAAATGAATTTAGAATCAATGGAATACGATATTAATTCTGATGGGCACATGCAACATACTGAAAGTACAGCTGTAGCCTGAACTCAGGATAGTTTTAGAAAACAAAATGCAAAGCCAAGCAATTCATGCTACTGTATGTACACATACAAAAGCCTGTCAGTCACATATTGTCCTGGCATGCCAATCAATTGATCAACCAAATATTAAAAATAGCCATGATGCTTGTACCAACTGTGTTACTGGCTTTAATAACTGATTTTTAAAAGTGCTAGTTTGCTTGATTTTCATTATTTTACTTGTAACAGATACTGACCACAGCACTTCAAGACAAATGTTGCTAAAGTTATAATAATAAACTATATTTTAAAGTTGATTATTATTGAAAGCTAATTATTATTGGGAAACAAAATCCAGAATCCTGTTACTTATGCATACCAGTGTCACCAAAGCATATTACCAGCAGTCAAGAAGTCAGTCCTTTTTCCTTCATGTCATGTAGTAGTCACATGACTTGACGCACAATGAGGAAAACAAGTGCTGACTTCTTACCTCATAGCAATTTACTACTGGAACTTACATCACTGAAGTTACGCCAGCATCAGTGTGTAATAGGATTCCAGCCAATGAAAATAACTGGCTCATTTTTGGTACACTATCAGAATTTTTTGCTATTTTTTTATCCTAGGTGTATATAATATGAGGAACTTTGAGACAAATTGTGTTTTTTCTCATTCTAAAGTGGGAGGGAACAATATGGCAAGCACGGGTATTTGAGAACAAATGTCAGGCTCCAAGTGCATCAAACACACAGCTAACTCGGCACTCCTTTCTCAAACTGCTGACAGCTCAGATACTCTGCATATAGCTTGTACCTTACTCTTGAATTACTACCCTGTGCCCAGCAAGAAAACAAGCCCAGAACAGCAAATCATGCACAAATGCAGGGGAAAAAAATCCTACTTTCAAAAGATGCTTCCTGTTGTATGTAAGCATTTGGCTGAGAAATTGATAAGAGACAATTGGTACAGCCTATCTATGCAGCAGGAATCACCCTCTACCCATTGCACTTGCTGATTAAGAGACCAGAGCCAGACCAAAGCTGCAGCAATGCAGTCTCCTATCAGAGTAGGCCCTTTAATTTCTTAGGCTTACACCCATTTTATTTTACTAAGGTACACTTAATCACAAGGTTTTGTTTTTGCTGGGCACCCAGTTTGAGAATTTTTGCTGTGCTGACTCCTTAATACTTAAGAGATTCAGATGCAATAAAAGGACGGTGAATTCTCAATCTGCTTACAAGTACCCCGTTCGTACTTTATACTTTCCAAATACACTACAACAACACATCTTGTAACACTAGTTCCAGAACTTCAGAGACCTCAATTCAATTGCGAGTCCCACCTGGAGTAGACCCAGGCAGTCAATGAGAAGCTGCTAAATCAACGTTTATGGAATTCAGTTGATTTGTCGAGTCCATATTCTATTCAGGACTAACAATTCATTTTAGACCAGAACTTCCAAGAGTTAAGGTGGGATACAGAAAACAAACGGGGTGGTCCAGGTAGAAGGGTAAGCATGCTAGCCCTATTTCTGTTCATCCATCCGAAGGCCAAAAAAAAAAAAAGCCTTGTGGGGATACAGCCCTTTGTTATCCTTGTTCTTCTGCCTAGCCGTCCAATGAAGATTAGAGGGCAAGTTCTTTGGGGGCAAGGGCCACACATGCTACACGCCACCCCATTATTCCATGCAATAATTCCCTCTCCTCCTCCCTAGTGTGCCTTCATAATAAAGTC